ACAACATCTGTTTTTCCTGAGGAGCCCTCTAGTAAAGTGTTTTAATGTGTTTTTTTCCCCACTGTGATTATTTTGAAAACCAGAAACCTTTGAATTATTGCTGCATGTGCTACTGATTGTGTTTCTTAAAATGAAGATTATGTCCTTGTCTCCTGCAAATGGCTTGTCCTTGTTATGGCATTGTGGCACAACCTTAATTATTTCATCAGTAACATAATTCCATAAATCCCCTGTAATTCCAGCAAACTGCCTTGGTTGCCTCTAGATGTCAGGTGGATCACAGGGCTGTAAATTCCTACAGTTCTCATGAATATGTTCTTGAACTCAGGAAGTGAGGATGGTCTTGGTTCCCCCGGTTTTCTCAGGCTAATCCTACCACGCAGTGTGGAATTCCTTAAGGAAGAACCGGCAGAAATAGTAACAGAACAGTCACGGCCACCTTGTCACCCCCAGATCCTTCTCTGCACAGCTCTGTGCAGCAGGTCAGGTCAGCCCAGCACAGGGAGGAGCCACAGAAACACAGAATCTCCCATGTCTGTGTCAGACACCCTCTCAGAGCAGCTGTGGCAGCACTGACAACCCTCATGTCCTCCCTGTGGATTTTCCCAGCTGCCCAGGGCTCCCAGGCTCTCCTTCCAATAGTTTCAGTCCCTCACCTTCCCCTCCAGGATTAAGCTGCCTTCCCAAAGCCAAGCCAGCTCTCAAGGCCACAAGCTCTTTCAAATCTATGTCAAATAACAGCTCTGTTAATGATTTACTGGGTTTCTCTCCACTCTGAGAAGCCACCCACACTTTTTATGACATTTCCTTCTGGCTGTAGTTTATACCTTCGGAACTGTAATTTCTCCACACCGTGTTTCAGTGCCTCTGTTCAGGGCAGGTTAAACTGTGTCACAATTCTCTCTTCTAAAGAGATAACCAACAAAAGCCTTTGGAAAGGCAAAGCCGTTAACCGTGAAATTCCACTTGGAAATCCAAGAATGATGAAATTCAAGCGAGTGGAGGTGGGGCAACTAAAAACCATATCTGTAAAGGTTTTTCTCCAGGGTGAGAAGCTTCCTGTGTGATTTTGTGTTAATGGCTGTGAGGAGAAGAAAGCACTGGGTAACATTAACTAAATAAACTAAAATGTTTTCATTTTTGTTCATGATTAGAGTAAGAATGTACAAACCACAGGATAATCAGTGGTAAAACCCACTCTCACTCCCAAGCTCAGCCACACAATTAACATCTGTGCTGTGCACTCTAATCAAGGCAAAGCCTAAATCATCCCTGCCAGAAGACTGTGGAGCTTCTCTAAGAGAATGGCAATATTGTGTATATATTGTGGATATCGGGCAAGCAAGATTTCTTGACTGAAAATTAATCTTTCCCCGTGAAACTGGGGTCTTTTGAATTAAGAAAAAAAAACTAAAAGAAAGCATTTTGCCTGGAAAAGCAACGAGGAAGGAAGGAGGTCAGTTTATTTTAGATATACAGGAAGTCTGATTCCTCAAAGACATCCTCTCCCTGGGTGGGAAAATCGAAATGCTCCTTATTTTTTAGGGGGGAAAAGATACTTTATTGGAGAAATCTCCTCAAAAGAGATTTCAGGTTGCCAACACACAACGGCGAACCCACTCTGCTTTTCTGTCTGCAAGTGCTACGGCTCTGACTGTCAGCGGGGCTCAGTTCGAGAGGGACCTGCAGCTTTTCCCTCGGGGTGCCCAGAGCAGGCAGCAGTGGGGACAGGGCAGCAGAGCCTTACTGTGGTCCAAGGGCCTGAAGCGGAGGGTGACCCAGGGCGAGTGCTGCCGGCCCAGCTCGGCGCGCACCTGCAGCTGGTAGTGGCCGTAGGCGGGCAGCGAGGACACGTCACACCGCGTGGCGCTCAGCCCGCTCCACACCGTGTCGTACGCCTCTCCCGGGAAATGCACGCTGCAGGGAGGAGAAAACAACGGCATTACAGGCTGGCCTCCCCCTCAGCACCTCTCTTGATACAACCAGTCCGGACTCATGAATGCGAAAATACAGACCCGGGTGCGAGAACCGCACGAAGGATTTTACATCCTCTATAAATCTGTGATGGAGTAGAGGTTAACACTGTGATTCAGTGAATAGGTGCCCCTTTCCTGGCAGCGGTTACAGCACTCGATTCACCACACAGGAGTGATCAGAGGAGTCTGCAAGCATTCAGCCGAGTCACTGTGCAAGGCACTGCTGCCCAGCCGGGACTCGTTCAGAGCTGTCTCTGAGATGTGCAGATACGGAGAAGCCAGAGAAAACAGAGCCTGACAAGTGACCAGGAACTGTTTAGAGAACAGAATCACAGAAGGTTTGGGTTGGGAGGGACCTTAAAGCTCAGCCAGCCCCACCCCTGCCATGGGCAGGGACACCTCCCACCAGCCCAGGCTGCTCCAAGCCCCGTCCAACCTGGCCTTGATGAACATATTATATGGTATTTAATACATGATATTCTTGCTGGTTTGCATCAAAAGCCCACCTAGGGAGGAAGTGATCAAAAGATAATGGCCACCAAAACTCAGAAAAACTTTCTTTAAGCTAAGCATGAACAGAAGGCTCCAGGGAGACCTGAGAGCCCCTCCCAGTGTCCAAAGGGGCTCCAGGAGAGCTGGAGAGGGACTGGGGACAAGGGCTGGAGGGACAGGACACAGGGAATGGCTTCCCACTGCCAGAGGGCAGGGAGAGATGGGAGATTGGGAAGGAATTGCTGGCTGGGAGGGTGGGCAGGCCCTGGCACAGGTTGGGCAGAGAAGCTGTGGCTGCCCCTGGATCCCTGGAAGTGTCCCAGGCCAGGTTGGACGGGGCTTGGAGCACCCTGGGCT